TTTGCGTGTTGCAAACGAAATCAAAAATGATCCCGAGATGATTCGTAGGGCAACTCACCAAATTTCACTTCGCGCTACAATGTGTTTGCAGCAACGGGGTGGCCATTTTGAACATTTCATGCATTAAGCCAAAATGATTATCCTATAGACAAGTCTATTTGATTTTATTTGTTAAAGATAATGAATGATTCATGTAGGTTAATACTGTTGTTTTATTCCTACTCTGGCGTTGAACTGAGTTCACTGCTTTTTGAAACGCTGATTTAAAAACTTGTATCTAAGTAATAAACTTGCAATTTTTCACCATTAGGAAGCTAATAACATGTAGAATAACTTAGCATTTAGTAAAGGTAGGGTAAATAGGACAATTTTTATTGAAATTTAGCAATTGTTTTAAAAATCATTGAAAAAATAGTGAGTTTCAGCATATTCCTCTTTATTTTAATTTTATAGCATTTAATTTCGTGGAAACTTTCACTTTACTGGTACGGCCTATTATTTGCAATCACTACAAAATTTATTCCAATATGATAGGACATTCAGTTTAAAAGTTGTAACGATTTATTTAAATAGGGTTAGCAGCTGACTCTAAAAATTTTAAAATATTCTTAAAAAAACAATTATTGTTTTTAATTTTTTTTTGATGATTTATCCGTCGATGAAATAGAGTGTAGTTTCCCTGATTTTGATATGTGCACTTTATGAAGACTCACACTGTGTATGGAATGTAGGTACTTGTATAGCGAAGTGTTTGTACCGCCATGTGGCTAGCAAATACGTTGGCAGCACTACCATTTGTTGTATTGCTGGATATGAGCCAAAAGATGTATAGAATCTGGCCCATTTCTTGAAACCAATGAATGTAGTGGCTCTGGTGGTGGTACTAGTGAAGTCAATTTGACTTTTCCACTGACATAATCCAGGGGCTGAACTAACTTCCACCCTTGTTAATTATTTTTGAACAAATACTTCTCAAAAAACTCACTGAACTAACTGAAAACTGGATCTAATCGAATCCGACTGTGCGTCACTAATTAATCGATAAACACTGTTAAATGATAATATAAATTTGCGGCGTGCGAGCTGTCAAGCTCATAATGATAGAGTAGTGAAAGTCAATTAAGCAAAAGAAACGTATATTTATCCGCCATTTTTATTCATCGAGTTAACTGACAAAGATAACAATTAGGCAACAATGCAGTTTCTTTTGAAGGGGCTATCAGAAAGTACGGATGGTAAAGAAATGGTGAGTCCCAAAAAGAAAACACAGTTTCACATAGCTAACTGTCAATAGCGGTTGGCATAAAGATGGCGGAAGAGAGTACCTGTCTCTTTTGGTACTTGAAATATTTTCTCTGCTGTGCGTACTCCATGATCAAGCAAACTGTCAAACGCGCGTAGCTTAAATATTCATTAGGTTTTCAATGATTTCCCAATTTTCTGCGCAATTTTCTTGATTTTTCTTTCCGTAAGAACCTTCTATACAGCATTAGGAAACTTTTAAAGAAAAGATGAATGAAATCGGTGAAGTGGTTCTCAAGTTATGGCGTGACCACGCGAAATAGGGATTCATTTATTATATATATACACATTATAACAAATAGAAAAATAATGGGCAAAATCCGCAAAAACAAGAAAAGCGAATTCGAGCAGAAAATAGGATAAGTAACCCGAGCGATACGTATTTCTGCTGGTTGGCTTCATCAGGCCCGAAATGAATGCACATATGAAACTACAAAAGTAGATACACATGCCTACACATCCGGATACGGGTGTAACCTGAGGAAACAGAGATGAACAGGGTGTCAGACATCCAAAAGGAGGCATGAGGTTGATATCATATCACTGAACTAGCTTTTTTAATTGTTTTGTTGAAAATAACAGTATGACCAACCTAGTACAAGGAAATATGACTGTTATAGTTCATATGCGGAATTTCATAGCTGATGGAACGTTTTCTCGGAAACCACTATATTCTTATAATCTCTAATTTCTAACAGACTCCTATATGAAATGAAAGTATAGTACCATACGCCAAAAAATGACTGCACTAAATGAGCACCAGTTTTTCAGCGTATACAATACAAACCAATCGAAGGTAGGTAGACTGAGCAGGCAATGAATGTAGTAATACAATACAATAGTATTATAATTAGTCGTAGTGTATGAAAATAAATGTGGTGGAAAAAATAAAAGCAAAAAAAGGTAAAAACACAGCACGAACCACTGCTTTGTTTGCGATGAGCCATTAGCTCAATTGACATTAAGCACTGGTGACCGATGGAGCCTATGTAAATAAAGTAATAGGGCAAAAACACAAGCACTCATGTGGATTTACGCTAAAATCAAAACAATATGATATATAAGGGAAATATTTATATGACATATAATGTGATTTTTTGCAGTGCAGATGCTAGAAAATAATAAACCTACTATCTTACCTACAATTCGGCTGCCAAGTTTCCCATCACGAGTCGAAGGGCGCAAGCAGGCTAAACTACTGTCACGTGGTGCGGCGTTAGTTTTTATGCCAGTAAAAAATTGCGGTAAATGGAAAAGTCGATTTTTAGATACGACTTCCTCCGATGCCTAATGTTTCTCTGTCGATAAAACAAATACATCGTGGTCGATACAGACGGCTGCAGATAGAAAGTCCCAGTACATAGAACTGGAAGTAGACTGTCTTTCCACATTTTATTGTGTAGTTCTTATCACTGTTCTCGGAGGTTTTAGCCCAATGTCATACGAAATAAGTAAACAGATTGACTGTTGGTACCTTGCGTGTAGCTTGACATTCCTAAGGGAGATTCAGCACTGCGCAAACCGATTCGTAACGCATCTGCTACTCGCTCTTGCACACACACACATACGTGTTTTCACGCGCTTTCTGAAAATGCCTTTTTTAGAGGCTATAGACGTTGTGGTTATATCTTCAGGCACTTCTATGCTTTATATCGAAGATCAATATGTCTAAGCCCAAATCACACGCCCATGACAAGCAAGTTGTCATACTGACAGTGACAAACATACATGTGGGAGACTCATACGTTGACGAGAAATTTTTCACGGCGGTGGGACAAAACTAGGAAACGTATGTCACGAAGACTAGAGATAGAATGGTTGTGTAGCCAAAAGTGACCACAACGAAGCCGGGGCTGTCTCGTAAGTACAGTGCGCGGGAAATGGATTTCAGTTTCTGCGCATATGGCATCTCTATCGTATATACTTTGAAGTTGAGTCATTAATTTTCAGATAATGATTGTAGAAGGAAGATAAACCAAAATGTGTGTGTAAAAATAAAAAAAAAAATTTTTTTACCTTGTTTTATAAAGTATCCTCCCGACAAGTATTTCAGTTGGGACCTGTATTTGATCGTGAGGTCTTGGAGCACCGGCATGCAGTCCCCTGTGAGGTCTTAAGTCACCTGATTCACGAGCCCGTTGTACTACATTAACAAAGGCACGAGGGGTTGGTTGCACTCGATTGGGAAACCGATCCGCATAAATATGTGCATTTTTTATTTCGTTTGAGCCACGCAGCAAACACCACTATTCACTCACGCGTTACCGACTGACACAGACTGAATAAAAACATCGTGGTCAGCGTTTCAAATTCTTTCGCTTTTTTGTTTCCGATGCGATGAACCGATAAGGCGGAGTATATCCGTTGTCGCCAAACACGAGCACATAATATTATTATTGAGACAGGGCGGTACTCAAACTTCTAAAGGGCTATAACTTTGTTACTTTAATTTTACCACAAAAATGTTAAAGGAAAAAAACATTTCCTTTGATCAGATCTACTCACTGTTAAAATAAATGACTCAACTTCGAAGTCACCCTGTATATGTTACCGGTAATCTGTATAATTTAGGTATTCTATACAATACCTAGACAATGGGTAGAATACCTGGGTTGCTCAGGCAATGTATGAAATATTATGAATATTATTATCGGCTACATACTTTACCTAGGTAATGAATACAAATAGTAAATGGTCTAAATTTATCAATGTTAAGCGGCATACCTATGAAATGACGCATATGAAACAAGTTGTATTATTCAAAATCAACTTAATTAGAATTACCATTTTTTTATACTTTACTTCGGCAATGTTAAATTGAAATTTATTTTGGGATCTCGCTACAATTAAAGTGAGGGAAAAATTAAAACGATATTGAGAAAATTCAGTTTTTTCTGTCTCTCTCCGGAATTTCGAAATTTTCTAAGCAGGATTTTGTTGATTACCTAAATACCATCAGACTAATTGTATGGACCTATTCAACTGACTTGATCCGCTTATTCTTATTTATTCATGTATTTCGCAGACGGTTTAACTTGTTCTGAACTTAACCCTTTGAGTTAATGACGGCGTTGCACGCAAGTGCAGAGTCAACCTACTTGACGCCTTTTTTTTGCGGCAAATGCTCCAGCCCTATGAACCCAGTTTGAGCTTTATAGGGAGCAGTGATTTAACGATATCACCAGAAAAATCTGCTGTCTACAAAATTGTATAAAAATAGTTATTTCTTCTACCAGGGAAAAAGTACTAGATTTTCGCTTGAGGTTGTATTGTCTCCCGACATTGCAGCGGAAGGAGACAAAAAACGGAAAGCTAAAATCTAATATTTTAGCGTCACAAAAATTGTTGCCAAATAAATCGCGGATTCAAGATTCATGGAATGGAAGATGAAAAAAAAACATGCAGTTCTTTGTGGGAGACGGTGTTGTTGGCTTATTTTTCGGAATTGGCACAACAACAAACGCTATCAACGCTGTGGTCGAATTATTCATTGATGAAAAGTATGTTACGATGAAGTAATAATGTAGACATTTCAAAATATTTCAAACTAATTACATTTCTGAAACAAAATGGGAAAGGTTGCACGCCCAAGAAAGCTGCGATTCTTACGAGTACACAAATTAGGGATCTTTTAAATAATGCTCCCGATGAAGTTTATTCAATGGCCAAGGTTGTTGTTGTATTTGGGATTGCAGGAGCTTGTCGAATTTGTGAAATCAGCCAGGTGACATTAGATGATGGATATTCGTTATTACTTGTGAAACTTAAGGAAACAAAGAATGATGTAAACAGGAGGTTTGTAGTTAATGAAAAATATATTAAATTTTACCGAATTACATAGCCCTTCATCCAGCAGCAGCAAAGGATCGCCGTTTTATACATATCACAATGGAAAATGTATCAATCAGGTTGTGGATAAAAACCAGTTTTATAAGGTTCCCGAAACAGTACCTAATTTTCTTCAATTTGAAAATTCTCTCATATACAGGTCATTCATTTCGAAGATCGTCTGCTACACTTTTAGTTGAATCTGGGAGAGACTTGATGACACTGAAGCAACATAACGGTTGGAAGTTATCAACGGTCGCTGAAGGGTATGTTGATAAATCGGTAGCAAACAGGACAGAAATAGCTAATAAAGTTTCAGAACGCGTTGTAGTGCTGAAATAATACCGGATTTGCGACCTAGTACATCAACGGGAGTTGTGATGGCAGAAAAACGTAAAATTTCAACACAAGAAAGTTCGACTGTTGTACCGAATGGTTTAAGGAACGTGTCATTCATGCAATGCACATTTGATAATTGTACTTTCGATATAAAGGAAATGTAACTTTATTGTATAATAAAATATTCTAAAATTAAATATCTACCTTTGTATGTGCTTATACAATGTCCGGGAAAAAGGTACTCGTTTTTTTCCCGGGGAAAAAAATAATTTCATAACATAACATGACATTTTGTTGCCTATCAGCAGATATAAAATGTCAAACTTTTTTGCCGTCACAGAAAAAACTTACGTATTTGGTGGCATATAACTATTTATTAATTTGTTAGTGAGGCCTCCCATGGTCGGCCTAACATAGTTACTGTGCGCGTGCCTAAACAAAATCTATCTAATGCTCTCGTAATTCGCTTTGCCGTGAAGTGAATTGTACATCACAGGTGACTGACCACCACTCGATACCAAAGGGGCTAGTGCATCAACAAAACACAAAGCTAGAGCAAAGCTTGGAAACAGTTCCTTGTGCGGACAGACTGCGTTCATATTTGGGATGAAACGATGCCTATACAGTGTGATTCAGAAATAATAACACAAATTTACTATAACCTCACGTTTTGGCATGCCTTCTGATACAGAGTGTAATTTAATTGATGACTATAGATACAGAACATGATTCCTTAGCTCATTTTAGGAAGAAAAGTTCATATGAACATATGTCCTAAACCTCTTAAATTTTGAGCTACAGGGTGTTGAAATTTTCTTATAATAACCTTAATACTGTTCTGAATATTTTCATGAAATTTGACATGCATCTACTAAGCACCAATAGGCATTTTCTAATGTAAAATATTTTTTAATATCTCTACCAGTGGCGTCCATACGTGATGTATACTGGTGATTTTTCAAAAACATATCGTACGTCATTGCTTTTTTAGAAAAATTTGCATCGGTTTAGATATATGAGTGATATGAAATTTGGTAGGAAGCTGCAACATCGTCCTGAACAGCTAACAATGACCTGAACATTTTTTCAAACCACTCTACTTTCATATAAAAAATTTGAATTTTTCGTAGTCATGCTGTTTAGGAAGCTTGACATTAAAAATCGTATAACAGGAAAATAATACCACCCCATCGCAATGTTAATTCTAAGAATATTCTCGCTTTATCCTCAGACAATGATGTCAATGGCATGGACGCTGAAACACCTTGTATATTTGTAACAAAAATACAGTTCTAACGGTTCAAATATTAATTTCTTACGTTAACACTAATTTATAACACGTGTAGTTATCTCAAATTTATAACAACGTCGACTAGACTATTATCCCATCTTGATTCCGCGTCGTTGACTGTCTCGACTGTGACTGACTCTTTCGCCATCTAGTCGGGTATTTATCGCGCTATCGACGAGTCAAAAAACATTTTTACACGTTACACCGTATTCGTAGAAACAAATTTTATTTTAGAACGTACTCTGTACCTTCAGTATTGTCACGACCATTTGAATCGCCCTGTATGTACTGTTTTAGTCAACAAAGCCCGGTGAGGGATAGCGAGATGGAGATGTAAGAGGATCAGAGCATTTGTACTATGAATTATTCGGGGGCTTGGCTGTGCTTTGAAACTCAGCGGGAAACTGAATTTGGAGAGTAGATTATTTAGTTTATAGGATGTATTATATTGTGTCTGTTTGCATAAAGAGCGCACTGTGAGTAACTATTTACCTGATGTTTCAGAGAGCAAACTTGATGATAGACTTATGACAACTATTATCGTGATTTTAAGGATATCATGGTTACAAAATGCTGATGACATACGGTACAACAAAACAATAAAAGATAGTCAGTGAAAACCCTTACCGTTTGATTGGTCGAACTTTGACCTGAACTAGATATCAGCACTATTCACAAAATCACAAAACAAAGACACGTCGACCTTTCAACTGTAAGAACAATATTCGAATGAACTAAGATAGCGTGCCCTTGTTTCCACGCGTGAAATTTACCAGGGTTGCAAGTGGTTGTTGAAATGTGTATTCCAGCAGTGCCTTTCTTAGCACTCCCGGTGTCAATCTTTTACAGGGTGTCTCACATCTAGAAAAGTGTCTAAAATATAGTATATGCTTACACAATGATGGGAGTTTTTTTTTTATATTTTCAACTTACTTTCTTACTTCGTTGCTATATTTACAGTTTCAAATTTTTAAATGCATTTTTTTACATTTGTTATCACTCTGAGAAGGGTGTAAAATAAACGTCAAAACGTTGGCAATTTAATTAAGGACATATGTATGTCAAGAATCCGATGAAATTGAAAGCAAATAAATTTACTGCTTGCTATGTCTCGAATGAATTGAAATCGAATAGACTAGGAGCCAAGTCTATATGTTTACATTGTATTGTTTTTCGCCAAAATTTTGTAGTTTTAGTGTATATATACCCCGATAGCATTAAATATTCATTAAATATTTTTTAAAAATGTTTGTTAAATATTTGTAGCCACGGATTCTTTAATATTTAATAAATGTATACTAAGTAACATATAAATCCGAACACCCAGTTTAAATGGTTTTATTTTAATAAAATTTTGTATAAGTACTTAATGAAGCATAATAAGTAAATGATAAAAATTTCAAAATGATTGCACTGTTTTAAAGCCCTTTGACCTTTAATAACGTGTGGATGCACCCTGATATGCTACGCATTCTCCAACGCGCCTAGGCATGCTTCTGATCAGGTGGTCAATGTCCTCCTGTGGTATCTCATTCCAGGCATCCACCAACTCCTCTCGAAGTGCTTCTAGAGTCTGAGGAGGACGTTGCAAATTGAGTAATCTCCTACCCATCATATCCCACACGTGCTCAATTGGGGATAAGTCGGGATATCTTGGTGGCCATGGTAACAATGTGACATCATTATGTTGAAAGAAGTCTATTGTGACTCTTGCAACATGTGGTCGGGCATTATCTTGTTGGAAAGTTGGATCTGCCAGGGTGTCAAGATAGGGTAAAAGATGGGGTTGTAGAACTTTGTGGATATAACGCTGCGCGTTCATGTTACCTCTGATGAAGATTAAAGGTGACCTGGAACCATAAGCTATAGCACCCCAAACCATAACTCCAACAGTGTGATGAACATGTCTTTCAACAAAAAACTGTGGATTCCTCCTTTCACCACGTCGCCTTCTAACCCTGGCACGACCATCGTGCATGCCTAAACAAAATCGAGACTAGTCACTAAAGAAAATACTGTTCCATTCCTGATCCCAGAGTGACCGTTGTCTGCACCACTCAAGGCGATTACGTCGGTGTTCTCGAGTTAAAGGGAGGACCCAGTGTGGCCGGTATGAAAACAAGCAAAAACTTCTCATTCGTCAGTAAACACTTCGCATGCCAATAGGTCTTCCGTGTTCTGCAAACCATTCATTTGCAATGGTCCTGGTAGTGGAGAAACGGTCCCTTAAGGCCAATAATCTTAGGCGGCGATCTTCACGGTCTGTTGTTCTACGGCGGCGTCCAGTGCCCCTTGCTCTTTGCGTACGGCCTTCTCGAAGCCATGCCTGACAACACCTAACCACAGTGTCTACACTTCTTTGCACTCTAACTGCAATTGCCCGAAAAGAAAGTCCAGCTTCCCGAAGTCCCACTATACGGCCTCTATCAAACTCACTAAGTTGACGAAATCGTACAGGTCTCCGTACTCTAGGCATCGTAACCGATCGTAAAGGATGTCAAGAACCAAAATCCGCCAACGTTGATTCTTTACTGCGGCTGAAATATTCATTTTTAGAGCGTTAGTGAATTAAAAAAAAGCAGTATAAAAACCGGAATATCCAACTGATAAGGCTGAAATTTTTTTCACTTGTTGTTTACAGTAAGATAAATACATTCACCAACTTTTATTAAAATAAAACCATTTAAACTGGGTGTTCGGATTTATATGTCACTTAGTATATTTCTTATATATTTCTAAAATATTCATTATAGATATTTGTAGTATATATAATATAATTCGTATGTATTTTTTCCACATATTGAAAATTCTAATATTTTTCGCAAATATGTGTGGATTTTAAAGGATTAATCTGTTACATATTTTCAGTGTATATAGAAAATTCTTCAATGGTTATTTTAGCAAAATCTGTAGGAATGCTCATATAAAATTAGGTTTATAAATAAAATCAATTCTGGATATAATGGTTTAATTTGCTAGAAGAATATTATTAAAAACATTCTAAGCCTCTTCTGCATCTTGCAAGTGCACTCCTGAAAAAAAACGAACTTACTAATTATGAAGTATTATTGAATATATTTATGAGAATATAAACTGCAGTGGAACAATATTGGTGCTGAGCACTGCTGAGTTACTCCGAGTAGCTCAACTGGGTCACTGAAAAGCAGCTCTATAATGCACCTAAAATGACCCCACATTTTCTGCCTATAATAGTTTGCGATTTGGTTAATTTTTATGAAAATTTGGTATGTTATTTTAGATATCTTGATGAAAAATCTCCAAGGGCACAACTTGATCCTTTGACTGACTTTTAAAGAAAACGTTTTTGAAAATAGACCACTTGTTGATTTTGTTGAAATGTAACTTTTTTTTTAGTAAAGGGAATAATTCAGCCATAGCTATTTTATGATTTTATAGTATAATTCAAGAGACAAAAATATACTATTTTCGACTGTTAACATTTTGTCACGTCGTTGTTGAACTTAAAAATTTTAAAATAGTTACAGCTGATCTGCTTCCTACTACGACAAAAATAATAATAATAATTTATATATTTAAAAAAATCATTTTTGATGTATCTATATCAAGTTGCGATTATATGACTATGCTATGTAATTATCGAAAAACTTACCCTTTTCCCTTTTCCACAAAAAAAACACTCAAATAATGTACCACTCGGAGTCACACAGGAAGGACTCTATCACAGTGACAGTCACAGGCAAAATGGATGCCGGCATACGGGTCGGCTCAGGCCGGCTTGCTATTATGCCACTGGTCGCTCAGGGTCACATGCACATACGCCGTAGCCGAAA